TTTTATTAAGCATTAAAGGCTTCATTGTTGTTGAATAAGAAACCATGTTTCCTCTTAATGTGTGTGTGTTTGATTAAGAGGGAAACAGAGAGAGAGATCTGCCAAAAAAATTACACCATAACAAATGACCAGCAAAGATCATTTGGTACAACCAGTGTTTTTAATGTTAAAAAACAATTCAATTATGTTATTGTCTCAAAAATGCAGAGAAGCTCAATCTATAAGAGAAAAATGCATTTCTATAAAATGTTGTATGGTTTTCATTTATTTAACAGAAGTTGTAGTTGACAGTCATTCAAAATGGTTTGTCCAGTGAAAAGTGAGGAAAAAAAAAGATATTTATTATACTGTAACTTATAACTTCTTTAATGTTGTATATTTGAGACCATGCATATATTCATATTTTACCCTTCTTTGCTTGAAATAATGGTCCAAAAACCTTTTTTATTTTTGTATTATTTTATGGTCGCACCGAATGACATTTTTTTAGGAGGTCAATTTAACAATCGCATAAAAAAACAAATTTTTAACAACTATTTTTTGTGACAAACCCTGAAAGTGCATAGGTAAAACTCAAGGGAACATAAAAAGTGTATCAATTTTTTTCACTTTTTAAAACCTTATACGTAATTGAACCTCTAGTTGTGGCCACAACCGGACTAGATTAATTGTGAACTACTCTTGGCGGAATGCATCGCTTGACTGCCGTGAGGGTGATAAGCACAATATCGTTCGCGAACTGCAGGACCCAAACGGTTCTTTTTTTTTTTGTCCATTAAGCAAAGGCTGTGTGTATGTTTTAGTTCTACAAAGATGTGTCCATCATAATATTCAATAATCAATTAATTTCATTCATTCACCATGCGATCAATTATCAGTTCTAAACATGTATTGTCCCACCACTGCAACTCCCGTACGGACACAGGAGAGGCGAAGGTCGAGAGCCGCGCGTCCTCCGAAATTCAACCCAACCGAGCCGCACTGCTTCTTGACACAATGCCCGTTTAACCCGGGAAGCCAGCCGCACCAATGTGTCGGAGGCAACGCCGTAAACCTGGCGACCGTGTCAGCGTGCACTGCACCCGGCCCACCACAGGAGTCGCTAGTGCGCGATGGGCCAAACCCTCCCCTAACCTGGACGACGCTGGGCCAATTGTGCGCCGCCCCATGGGTCTCCCGGTCGCGGCCGTCTGCGACAGAGCCTGGACTCGAACCAGGATCTCTAGTGGCACAGCTAGCACTGAGATGCAGTGCCTTAGACCACTGCGCCACTCGGGAGGTATTCGTCTTCTTTATGCTGCCTGCAGCATGATCTAGTTCCATGCGCGCATGAATACGTAAGCTCGCTAGATAGCTACATAAGGTAAAACAACATGTAATGTTTCACCTGGAAACACTGACCAACACTTTGGTTCTTACCCTGTCAATAATTCATCCATGGCTTATTAATTTGTTGTCATGTCAAACAACAATGTATTCAAGGTCCTTTTTTTATTTGATTTTTTCTATTGAAGATTATGTTTAAAGAAGCCCTGGATGTTGATTAAGCTATGGGAAACACTGACTGAGCTTAGGCTACACATCCTGTGTGGCGTCATGCCTGAAGCTTGTCCTCTGTTGCTCAGCTGCCATTATGGTCAGGCAGTGCCGCACCACAGCCACACTTCTCTCTACTAGGCCAAGCCTATATCCCCAACATGATTGTGTGATTGTTATCTGGGCCTGAAATTCCCCATGGAGAGAGAGCTGGCCATGGCACACACATCCAATTTACACAGAGTACAGTTCCTAACCTACTCCCTTCTCCTTGGCAAACTGAATCCACTCTAGGTATACACTGTGTATGCAGCACTTTTGAAATAAAAGTAGCTTCTACAGTTAGCTAAGGCACAGCCCTAAAATAATGTTTTTACACTGTCAAAATTAGCCTATTTTTTGCTATACTAAAGTTATGATATTATTAGCCTATAGTTTTACATGAATTAGCCTAGATTATTTTTTCTTAACGAAACGCTAGGCCTAACACATCTCATTTAAACACATTACATTATTATTACACAGTATGTGGCTATGCTGTTTCTCAGTAGCACACACACCTCTCCAACCTCATGCCGCATCGAAAACAACTGGGAACTCGGAAATCTCCGACTTCATACAGTGCGTTCAAGACAGATGGGAACTCTAAAAAATGAGGTCCGACTGGGAAAAATTGGTTTTGAACAGTCATCCAATTCAGAATTCCAAGTCGGAAACTCAGGCATCCTTCTAGAGCTCCGACTTTCCAACCTGAAGACCACTGATGTCATGATTTGCGTTGTTTGTTTTGTTTCCAGTTGTATTGAATGCGCCATCAGCTACTGGCACATCCGCACAATGGCATGATGACAGTCTGTGTTCCTACTCCAGTTGCTGTACTGGGGGACATTGGAAACTGGAAACCTGGTATGTGCATTGAACACAATAGGGGAAATAGGTTCATGAGATGGAGCAGCAATGTTTCACTCACAAGTCACAATGCCATGAAGTTTTCATCTTTGTCCATAGCTTCTACAAATACAACACAATTTAAACATCTAGTCCATTTCCTCTCAATATCATATTTTTAAATGCCTTGGAACAGACCATGCAACAAGGGGGCTTTTGGCTTTAAACTCAGGACCCTTTGGTGAAACAGTAGGACTCTGCTCTCTCTAGGACTGACTTTCCTGACAAATACCAAAGGAAGCCACGGTTTATGTCTGCTATTTTTTCACAGGGTTCACCCAGTGCTGCTCACAGACCCAAGCCCATCCTCCAGACATAGTCTGTCTTGCAGGTAGTTCTTGATGAACTCCCTCAATTAGCTAATTGCCTGACATCTCAAATCTGGTTCTAGTATATGTCGCATCTTTAGTCCACAAATTGTGCAGAAGGCAAGGGGCAAGACAGAGACAAATTAATGAAGACATATAATGACAAACGGGACTGTATATCAAAACGATCCGCGCTATACAGCATCCTTGGGATGTCCCTACCCCATTGAAGTTGAAATGTAAAATGGTTAAGGTTAGGTAAGGGTAGGGGTTAAGGACGTCCCAAAGACCCCGGATAACACTGATCAAATCAAAACATGGTTGACATCTCGAATTCTTTAGAATAAAATAGATATGGACCAGCTTGAGCCAATGTGATTACAATCAGTATGTAACCAGCACATCAAATTCATTTTAAGCATTACAATTACACACAACATTTTATAATGCCTAGCAACAACTGTATGCTTCCAATCCGTCCAATGATGGAGAGTAGCAACAATTAGGCACGTTAGCTAGCTACTCCGCATCAAAAACAGATAATAGTCGCGAGCTCACTTCAGCTAGGATAGCTTTGGTTTAGCTGTAGCATCAAGCTATAGCTAGCCCAGCAAGATAGCCGACAAAATGTCTAATTTCGACTTACCTATAACGATCCGCAGGTGTTTTAGGCGTGTCAGTACATCTTTTTTGGGATCCAACACTTTCGGTGTTGATTTTTTGACGTCCCCATGAGGCTTTTTGGAGAACATTCCGAAAGCAGGAGAAAAACAAATCTGTAGGAGGGAGCAAGCCCCTGTTAATCTTCAAAAGATTGCTAACTACAAGAGAGCTGTGGGTCCGTTATCATTTGATGATGTACTGCGACCTAACAGCCTTCAAGGACGATAACATGTATACAAATAGATAAAAGTCGGTGAGAGGTGTGCATTTTGCAGAAAAGAGCTTATGTAAAATGTTGCTACCAACCCAGCAGCCCAACCAACACACCTCTCCCCAAAATCTCTAAACATGGCGGAGCTTGAGATATGAAAAACAAGTTAATGGAAATCAGAGCAATTCAACGCTGCACTCCGGTAGAATAAATACATAAATCATATTTTAATGTAGTGTCTGGTTTGATTCATTTAAACATGTTAGATGACAGTCAGATCCTAATGAATGGCATAGTGTATCCCAAGCAAGAAAGCAATCTGGAATTTTAATTTCAAAGACCACTACTTGTGGGTGCACCATGTAATAAAAAAGCAAAAGCTTCACATTATATGGAAAAGTGAAAGTGCATTAGTCTACATTTATCATACTGTGTTCCGTGACTGTCGTTGTGCGTGTGTAATGTTTACACTCTGATTGTTTTTGTCTTTGTTTTGTTTAATTTGCTTTTTTGGTTTTTGTCATTATTGTTATGTTTATTGTTTATTTCACTTGCTTAAGCAATGTAAACAAGTTTCCATGCCAATAAAGAAAAGCAATTGGTTGCACCGCTACAGACGGCTATATCAGTCTGCTAATACAGGACTAGTAAAGGCCCAGTGCAGGTAAGGGTTAGGGTAACGGTAAGGCTACTTTTGTGGGAGAAAATAAATCATCATTATTTTTTTAAATAATATGTTTGTTTTATTCTGAATTTCCAGGGGTGCTGCAGCACCCTCAGCACCCCTACTTCCCGCGACTGTGCCTGTCTCCCTTCCTCCAAATGCACTGATTTGATTGGAACTGGACATGTAACAGCACATTACCTAAAGCCAGGCACCACATTGCTTTCCCCTGTTCTGTGATTTCAGTTGAGATCTAGATGTGTGAAATACTGACAGTATTTACTGAAATATCTAGTTACAGAGTAACTACATATTGACTTACATAAGGTTTCACGCATGCTTTAATTACCAGCATATTAATTGAACATTCGAGACAGTTACAGTACTACTGTAACTACATATTGACTTACATAAGGTTTACGCATGCGTTAATTAGCAGGATATTAATTGAAAATTCGAGACAACGTTCTCATTCTCAACTTTTCTTGATTTGATTTGTATGGTCTAACGAGATGGTGTGCTGCTTTGTCAAACCCTGGGGAATGTAGTTTGACTTTTCCCCTTTTGTACGATTACAACATGGTGAAATTGTTGTAAAACAACTACAATTCCCTAGCATCGAAATCTACGTCAATTACGCGCCAGTGAACCGCTGCGATTTATCGTTTGTTTTTAGCTTGGACGCTTGCTGGCTAGCTAGCTAACGTTAGCTAGCTTTCCATCAGTGCTTACCGCTTATTTAATCGGACATAAAACGAGATTATTTATTATTTATCTTTCTGTTTCTTTATTGTACTATTGCTAAAAAAAAGTATATACTAATCTTACCGATATATTAATGTCATCCGATAAACTCCTGTCCTGTGTAGTTTTCGAAAGCTAGCTTCACTTGCTAGCTAGCTAGCAAGCGAGCTATCTTAATTTCCGGTGTTTTTTTGTTGTTGTTTTATTCGCTAACTAACTAACGTTAGCTTTACAACGATTTTGGTAGCTATTGCTAATGTAGATACCAATCTCTTTTGTTGGAAGTACAAAATAAAATTACTCTGTTAACGTTAGTAGTTGAAGGTAAGTTCAAGCTTTGAACTAGCTAACTTTAGTCAACATTATTATGACTAGTTCATATATTTGGCATTGTGATACAACCATTCTGATTAAAAGCCAGGCAAGGAAGACAACATGCCGGTACATTCTCGAGAAAAGAAAGAAAGTAATCATGAGGAGATGGAAGTCGACTATCCCGAACAAGACGGGAGCAGTTCAGATGAGGATGACACTGAGAGCTCGTCCGTGTCAGAGGATGGGGACAGCTCGGGTAAGAATTGTTTTACCAACCCAGTTTGTTTGTAAGCTACAAGTGATTTGCTACACATGTTACATAAAAGCATCTAATGTGTTTCATTGATTTTTTTGGACATCATACATGCATTGTAGAGATGGATGATGAGGACTGTGAAAGGAGAAGGGTGGAGTGCCTTGATGAAATGACAAATCTGGAGAAACAATTTGGAGACCTGAAAGACCAGTAAGTCACTGATTGCATTTACTGATTGGATTTACCTTATAAATATGTCTCAATTCCATCAGTGTGTCAAACAGATTAATGTAGCTAAGGTGCTGTTTTTGTTCAGGTTGTACAAGGAGAGGTTGAGTCAGGTGGATGCCAAACTCAAGGAGGTGATTGCAGGCAAGGCTTCGGAGTACCTGGACCCCCTGGCAAATCTGCAGGAGAACATGCAGATCAGAACAAAGGTTGCTGGTAAGTCTGTTGCAAGCTAATCTTTGGATTACATTATTTATATAGCTTTAAACTGATTTCACAAATTGCTGTGGCATTGAACACCTGATTAATAAATTAATGTTTCCTAATTGTCATCCAGAAGTTGACAAAGTAAATCTGATTGAATGAACAGTATGCTGGCATGTCTCACTGTCAAATTGTTTTCCTTCTCAGGGATCTACCGGGAGCTCTGTATAGAGTCTGTAAAAAACAAGTATGACTGTGAAATCCAAGCAGCTTTCCAGCACTGGGAGGTGAGCATTGATGTTGGGAAGTCCACATTGATGTTGGGAAGTCCACATTTCATAGCTCTACCCATGTCCATCTTCAAACCTCTGATGTCGAATTAATTTATTTGTATACTGTCTTAATTTATGATAATTTGAAACCATTGATTTGTCTTTGTTTGTCGCAGAGTGAGAAGCTGCTATTGTTTGATACAGTGCAGAGTGAACTTGTGGAAAAGATCAGGCGACTGGAGGAGGACAGGCACAGTATAGATATAACCTCAGGTATCATCAAGTCATTAAGCATGCATAACCCAGCTCTCATATGGCTAGTTCACCAGACAGTTGCAAGCCTAGTCCTGGACTTAAAAGCTATTTAATGGAGCATGCCTTTTAGTCCAGGACTAGGCTTAGTCTGTGTCCAGGAAACTGTCCGATAATGCCATGTCTTAATATTTCCTCTCCTCATTGACCCTTCTTTTCTCACAGAGCTCTGGAATGATGAGCTGCAGTCAAGGAAGAACAAGAGGAAAGATCCATTTAGTCCAGACAAAAATAAGAAGCCAGTTGTTGTGTCAGATATCCTCTTTCATCATCTGAGTCTCAACAGAAGTTTATTTTTATTTTTACAATCTTGGTCTGTGTTATGTGTGTACTTGCCCCCCCCACACACATACACATACACACACACACACACACACACACACTGCCTTTACATACCAGTATTTCCTTAACATTCGTACGACCATATATTGTCTACATGTTACAAGACTTGGATATACTGGAGGACTGGACAGCAATCAGAAAGGTACCTTGCCTTGTATATGCATAGTATGGTCCTCTGTAGCTCAGTTGGTAGAGCCTGGCGCTTGTAATGCCAGGATAGTGTGTTCGATTCCCGGGACCACCCATACATAAATAAAAACGTATGCAAGTGTGACTAAGTCGCTTAGGATAAAAGCGTCTGCTAAATGTCATTTATTATTATTATATTAGTATGTTTTGGATTTATATGATGATTATGATCATATTCTAACAATTTTAATATATTAAAGGCTGTTGCTACTTTGGGACCTCACAGAGGTAAGACTGATGGTAAGACTCAACATCAATTTTGAAGTAAAGAATTGTGCTGTAATGTTTCATCACTCTATTCTGTTACTGTCTGAGATCCTGTCCCTCGTCCCTTTTTGGTTTTCTGAACCAAACTATGAATGAACACCATACATAAATAAACACTATTTAATGTTAGTAAGTTGAAATGATATGTTATAAGAAGTTACTATACCAATTTGAAGTGTGTACCTTTGTGACTAAATCTTTTTTTGTTTCCATCAAACATTAAATTCCAGTCTCCACCAATAAAAATGAAAAGTATCAGCATAACGCTCGATCAGAAGAGGGAAAGTTGTATTATGACGGAGAATGGTACTGCCGTGGACAGACGATATGCATCGACAAGAAAGATGAAGTTCCCACAAGGTGAAGATACTGGCATCCTTGGAAAATATATATTTTTGGAAGCAAAGTATTTTATGTCCTTTATCTAACCATTTAATAATTTCAATGTTTAATCTTCTTGTCTTGCCCCCCTCTGTCCAAAGAGCCATAATTACCACAATCAACCACGATGAGGTTTGGTTCAAACGACTTGACGGCAGCAAATCCAAGCTGTACATCTCTCAGCTCCAGAAAGCCAAATACACTATCAAACACTCCTAATTCTCAGGTCAACTTGCACCACTCCCTCTCCAAAGCTGAGGAGTTATTAAAAGATCCCCATGGTGCCATCTTCTGCCAGTTTTACGTTTTCTAATGAATTCTGAATGGAATGTTATCTATACTTAAAATACAGTTTTTATGAAATACAATTTTTTTGTTAATTTGATGAGATGGGTGTGGGTCCTCTAAATAGTATCGTGTGTGACTGTAGGTGTGAATATGACCATGTTCCAATGGCATCTTTATTGGGCAAGACAAAGACGGATATGGAGAAAATTAGTTTCCATATTCTCTTTTTCTACAGGTTTGCCTTAACAGTAGCTCAAAGCATTCGGATGAGAAAATGTACAGTATAATGGAATAACACTGTAAGATCTATAGAAAGTTACATGGGACATCAGTGTATATCAGCCTCTCATGTAACATTGCCAAGTATCCATTATCTCTTGCCATACCCGTCTCTGCCAGTTGTACTTTTTGTAATTTATGATCAATTCTTTATGTTAGTGGTATGGTACTGGTGATGACTGTCTGTATAACTTTAACACTTATGTCTTACATCTTCCAATGCAGTATTCATTTGTTTCTTGCTGTCTGTCTTAATGACATTCCTACATAGGGTTTTTAAATTGTAGTAACGTTCCCAGAATTCCCAGGTTTTCCAGAAAACCCGGTTGAAAGTGTCCCAGAATCAGAAGAGAATAAGCAGGAAATCCGCAATCCTCCGCCCTAGATTTCTGGAAAACCAGTGAATTTTGGGAAAGTTACCAGAACTTTGCAACCCTACTCTTACCTCACTTTGAGATGCTGTGGGTTTGCTAGAGCAGAACCACTGTCTTAATGTACAGAATAAAATGGGCCTGCATGTTTTATATAAAAAAGGGGAAAATATATGTTTAAACTTTGTCTGGATTATTTAGAGGCCAAGCAATTTTCTGACAAGATCCAGTGAAATGCACATTACTTTTTCTACACTTTTCCATAATCTCATGTCATGTGTTCTTGTTGAGGTCAGCATCTATGTCCGCATTTCTACAACAGTAAAAAATATATCTTAAGCTGTTTTACTTGGGCTAAAGATATGCCCCTAAATCACAGAGCAGTTTGGAGATTCCGGTCTTGTTTCATGTATAAAAGTTGCTGCAATACCATAATTTGCCACAGCCAGTTTCTCCTACCTAAACAGCAAAGTGTTTTCTTGTTACTGAAAGCTTTTTTGTTATTAAAAAGCTTTTTGACTTGCCCAAACTCTACTGCCAAGACTAAGAACAATATTTGAAATGTGTATTGAAAGGTACTAATGTGAATGTTGGTGTGAAAATAATATGAACTGTTTTGTTGTCAAAAGCAGAACAAATGACTTGGATGTTGTATGCAAGGTTGCAGCAAGGAGTAGTCCAGGGTTCTTCAATTCCGGTCCTAGAGGGCCGAAACACTTCTGTTTTTTATTTCTACCTGGTAGTTAATTGCACTCACCTGGTGTCCCAGGTCTGAATTAGCCCCTGATTAGAAGGAGAGGATGAAAAACAGAGGTGTTTCGGCCCTCCAGGACCGGAATTGAAGAACCCTGGAGTAGTCTGTTCTTGTACTAAAGCCCTTTGGGAGAAAGTATCAATATGAATGTGGTATTAAGTATTTCGATTTCATCATGACTGCCTGTTTGTTCATAAAAAAATAAAAAAATAAAAGTTGACTAAACAAAAAGTAAACATGGTGAAACTACATCGCTGTGATTATGTCCTTGCATGCATTTTTGGAAATGGCAATAAAACCTGAATAAAAACATTAATTAATAGTTTCACATTAACAGATGTGAGAGTGACAGCTACCGGTGGGTATCGCTGTTTCCCTTCGGATGAACTTTTCCAACCCGTGCCGCAGCTGACGCTTCGTGGCTGTTGTGTTTTAGTCTGCTAAAGAGTGAACTGAAAATGACAGCGAGAAAGTCTGGGTCACGACTCGAGACAGAGATAGAACGATGCCGTTCGGAAGGGCAATGGGACAAGATACCAGAGCTTGTACGGCAGCTCTCTGCCAAACTAATATCAAATGGTAAGATTTGCTCTGCCGTTCATTTAACGATTTGGGGCCTGGACAGGAGACAGAATCCACGGGCTTTCCTAACCACGTCAGCGGGAATGAAATGTCCATTGCGAGTCGCTTCCAGCTAGCCAGCTATTTCTAGAGGTCATGCGTCTGTAAGAACGACATAATGATCTTGAACACACCGGTATAGTTTATATTTAGCGAAAACCCAAAACTCCTTTGATCGTACGCACGCACTCACTTTTCTGTCATTTAGGGCCCAGTCTAGCCGTAGCTGACTAACTTGGGCAGAGAGTATTCCCACTGTGCATACTTGTTGAAAGTTCTCACTCAGGAAATATTTCTAAACTATTTTACTGAGCTCGCTAGCTATCATACCACTTGCATAGGTAGACTTCATAGAAATAGTCCTGCATATCAATGACCTCATCATACACAGTGGAGCGACTTCCTGCTTACTGAAATCAACATAAACAAAATTGAAATCTGTGCGCAATAGCATGCCTCAAGGAGAGGGGAAATTGTTTTCTCAACAGATTTCAGTTCTGGTGATGTCTGTAACAGGAAGTCGCCTTGCTGGAATATTGATGTAATTTAACTTAACCTTTAATGCCGCGTTCAAAACAACTGGGAACTCGGAACTCTCCCGCCTCTTTCTAGAGCTCGATCACTGACGTCATGATTTGACATCGTATTTTTCCGAGTTCCCAGTTGTGCTGAACGCGGCATAAATGTCATATTTTGCCATGCAAGCATGTTTTGTTGACGTAAACTGACATGCCTTCTTATGTCAGTCAGACCAGAGCATAGGGGCAGTTAACAAACGGTTAACAAACTGGATTAGCCTACAAGTCGCTTTAAAATCCAACAAAGCAAGACGTTGAGGTGTTGAATAACACTATTACTACTAATCTTGGTTGACCAGTATTTTTGTCTGTAGTACAGACCTAGGCCTATAATCTGCTTCACACCCTACAAACATATTGCACCACACCAGGCTTCTCAATTTGTGGTGACTGGCTTTTTGCATCAAGGAGACAGAGTTTGGCCTACCCATTTCCAGCCAGCAGTTTTGGGTCTCCCTTCATTCACTTTTATCCCTATCAAGTTTGACTGTACATTTGTTGCTGAATACTGATGCTGGAGTATTGTTGATGCTGGAGTATTGTACAGAACGTAAAGGAATCTGCATGTTAGTGCCAGGGTTTGCTGATCTGTGTTTACCTCTGATATATTATTGGAACATGATGTGTGCTGTCATCACACATATGACTAAAGTAGTGAGCCTATTTGGAAAATAATCAGTGGCCTGTAGCCTGGGTCGTATTCATTAGTGCTTATAAACTAAAACAAGTTTTATTTTTATTGGATAAGGTCAGGTAGTCTTTCCCTTTTTCAGACCGTTTCCTTCTGTTTGTTGCCGAGTGAATACGACCCTGTTGAACTGGGAGGGTAGGCTATGTTACATGTCATGATTCATGAACCATACTGGAGGTCAGTGGCGGTCAGTGACGTTTAGGATGAGGGAGGACAATTATTTTTTATGAGTGCCTTATTTCTATTACAGCATATTGGATGTCATTCTTATTCCATTCACCCAGCCCAGTTTAGGCTACTACATGATACTCACATTTTCCATATACCCATCATGAGGTTGCTACAACCTAGCCTATGAATGAAAGTTTACAACGTAGGTGCACAGACAGTGACACATTCAATACTGCCTTGTACACTCTTGCCTGCACCTAGCTGACCAAGAGTGTAATCAATAGTCCAACAGTTGCAAACAAGAGTTTCTATTGGACAAATTCAGGTTTGTTTATCCCTGTTTCATTTCCGTTTGCTTCCTTTTAAGATACATTTTTCAACAGAATCGGCGGAATGAATACACCCCTGATCACACACAAACACAGTTCACTTTCATAGCAGCCACATACAAACAGCATGATCATTTTGCTTGTTGTATAATTCCTTCTCGCATCTACTCGCTCTCCTCCTCTCACCTTTTTCCTTCGCTTGTGGACTTCAGTGCACAACAAATCAGCTGTCAGTGACCAGGCAAGCCAAACCTTCATATCATAACTGCTAACCGCTACACACAGCCTACATCGTTGTCACTATATTAGCTAGCTAACATCATAGTCAACATAGCTACTAGAACTAACACATTAGTAAACCTGCTACAGTAAGCAGTTTAGCAGTTACACCGGCGGGCCCCGGTGGCGATAAATTAATCAAATCAAAAGCTTACCTTGACTTGGAATAGTTCCAGTGTTGGATAGCCATAGCCAGCTAGCTAACATAGCATCCCTCTCTTTTTGAGCGGGTGTTTGAGTAAGCTAAACTAGCTAGCTGCATTCGTTAGCTAAGTGAAAGTGGAGAAAAAAATACAACAAAATATTGCTAGCTCTCTCTCTCTCTTGCTTCTCCTTCATGTTAAAAACTCTTCAACTATTGTCTTGCTCTCTCTTTGAGTCAACTACTCACCACATTTTATGCACTGCAGTGCTAGCTAGCTGTAGCTTATGCTTTCAGTGCTAGATCAATTCTCTGATCCTTTGATTGGGTGGACAACATGTCAGTTCATGCTGCAAGAGCTCTGATAGGTTGGAGGACGTCCTCTGGAAGCTGTCATAATTACTGTGTAAGTCTATGGAAGGGGGTGAGAACCATGAGCCTCCAAGGTTTTGTATTGAAGTCAATGTAGCCAGAGGAGGTCAGAAACTAGCTGTCCTCCTTCTACACCAGGGTTCTTCAATTCCGGTCCTGGAGGGCCGAAACACTTCTGTTTTTTATTTCTACCTGGTAGTTAATTGCACTCACCTGGTGTCCCAGGTCTGAATTAGCCCCTGATTAGAAGGAGAGGATGAAAAACAGAGGTGTTTGGGCCCTCCAGGACCGGAATTGAAGAATCCTGTTCTACACCATGGCACTACCCTACAGAGTGCTGTTGAGGCGACCTTCATTGCAAAACAGTGTGTTTTAATACATTATTTGGTGATGTGAATATATTTAGTATAGTTTTATCTAAAAAGTATAACTTTTAATGTTTCACTATTTCTATTTTTATGAAATACACTGAGGAGGATGGTCCTCCCCTTCCTCCTCTGAGGAGCCTCCACTGCTGGAGGTATAGACTAAACTGTGTTTGTGTTTCAGATGACCTGGGGGAGCTGCTGCTGGGGGAGGCCAAGCTCCAGCAGTACCTCAAGGAGAACCCCATCAAGCAGGGGGCCAGCCCCAGGGGCCCAAGACCCCGGCTTGTGGAGGTCCGCAAGCACCTGACCGCTGCCCTGGACCGAGGGAACCTCAAGGTAGATGGTAATGATATAACACAGTAGACCTCACCTATAGCCATTAGTATCCGTCATATGTCCAGTCTAGTTTAGTCTTGTAACAGTGTTATAACAGTATAGTCCAGTCTTATAACAGTATTATAATACTGCAAAAGGGTAACACTGGTTTAATCAGGATCTAGCTTTACACTCACAGCTTTCCCAAACTGAAAGAATCCCCTTTGAATTGTATAACCTCCTATCACTGCCTCACTCCCTCGTGCTGCTTCTATGCACCCTTTTTCTCTGAAACATGAACATTTAGCTACACATATTTTTGTGTTTAGGAGAAAACATGTGGCTACACACTATCGGTCTCTTCTCTTTCCTTTCGTGCCTAGCCGGACTACATGCAAGAGGCTAGTATGTTGATGGCCAAGCTGTCCTACGTGGAGGAAGACTACAGTGAGGCCTTCAACCAGTATGGCAAAGTGACCCTGGACGAGCTGGCGCTGGTGGGAGCCCCCGTCTACCGTCTCTCCATGATTGCCGAAGCATACGCTACCAAAGGTAAGAGGCTTGGGTGCCAATTGTATAATTCCCTCACATTACACAAGTCCAGGTTTTTCCTGGCTCAAAAAGGGGCTTAGGTGGTGGCAGTGGCCGTGAAGAAACCTTTGGGTGGCCTACCCAAAAAGGTCTTGTGCAGGAAAACCCTGCCAGTATTTCCCAATTCAAAATCTATACAACAAAATTGTCCACGGGAACAGATCTATGGTAGGGGAAACACTGCATAACCCTACTTTCTATTCTACTACCAAATCTCAGCTTCAAACTTAACTCTGCTTCAGTACTCTACACGTTCCATTCTAGTAATTTGGTGACTAGCTCGATAGGCTGTGTCATCATTCTATTCTAAAGGACGTTGAGCCTAATCTGTGGTGCTGAATCCCTCTGTTCTCCCCCTGCCTCAGTCATTCATTGAGAAAGTGCTGAGGCTGAGCCTGGGGTATTACCTAACTCTGCTGGTCTGGTCAGTCTGAGTCAGGACCTGGTGCCTGCCCTGCCGTTGCACCCCTGAACTCTGTCACTGTATGCTTGCCAGGGGGATGCTTAGCTTAGCTGATGAGAACACAATGTGACCAACTCATTATGCAGCTCCTGTCTGTGGATGCTTGCTCAGGCCTTTCCCTCAGAATTCTGCACTAATACAGGGGGACGTTGGATTGACCTGCTGTAAAATGGAGATGGTTTTGATAGAGAAGTAGTGGCGTTTTAAATGTCCTATAATAGAGTCAGTTGCTGTATCTAAATCTAGTGTGTATTTTAAAATGGACATGACATGGAGGAAAAATACATTGTCTCTGAAAATAGGAAAATGACACAGCAGGACCAGTCCTCTCAGCTTGAGCTAGTATCCCCTGCAATGTGTTGTTTGGCCATGTGGTAGCAGTAGAGGTTCACTGTTCACTATGCTGTGTTTGAACATGCAGAGAGAAGTCCTCTCTCACACACACAACACACAACACACTCTCTCAGTTTCTCAATGCAGAGCAGAGTGAATGTGTCAGACAGTACTGCAGAGCTTTGATCGGAGTTCTGACAGACCAGCAGCATTACATTGGCTGTGAGTTGGGATAGAAGAAGCTCTACCGTAGTATGGAGCCCCTCAATACAGCAGCCTAGTATACACACACATCTGCCCCCCTCTATACATACAGCAGCCTATCCTAGGGTTTACACAGACCGACCGATGATGCAAGCCGAGCAGTCGCCCGTACAGCATACATCACTGGGGAGCGACTGCATTGCGTAGGCAACCCCACCCCACATAGGCACACACACACATCTCTCCGGGCCGTATTTCCTGCACTCATACTTTGTATATGGAGTGAAGCATTGAAACATTAGGGCTTGACCTGAATGTAGAAAAGCTGACTTTATAGCCGGAAACATCTAGAATGGAAGGAGGTCTCTTCAGATGAAGCTCTCTTTTATGTTAAACAGCATAATTTCTTATATAGCCCTTAATTGGCTTTGCAAGGCAGTGTTGATAGATAGCATAACCTGAGTTCATTCGTCATTTTGTGTGACTTTGTCTGGACCAGCCATCTTGTTTGTCCGATGGGGGGAATGGTAAGACATTACTGCTGTTTTAATTTTAATGAGCGTCCTAATCGAGAGGAGTGGAGGGGAGGAGGAGGTCAGGCCGGCCTGTTTAGAGTGACACAGGAGCCCATTAGGCTGTGAAAGTGCCACAGTGGTATGAATAAGTAATGTGGCACGGCAGCAGAGAGCGCAGAGCCATACAATGACAAGAGAATCCCCCGGGCACCAGTCATTAACCCACATGCACCTCCACCACAGGAAATGTTTATAAGGCAAAGACAAGCCTGGCTGCATACATCCATCTTTGCAGATCTCTCTCTCTCTCTCCCCATATCTCTCCATCCTCCATCCATCCATGGTGGGCGTCCGTCCGTCTGTATGTTAATCTCTCCATCTGTTTGTCTCTGCCTCCTTCTCTGGCTTTCTGTTTCTTTATCTATGTATACCTCTCTCTCTCTCTCCTCCCCTCTCTCTCTACCTCCATCCCACTCTCTCTTTCCCTCTCGCAGCAGTATTCATGTTCCAGTCATGTCCTATAAAAAGAACACATCTGCACCTCTATGGTACTGGAGGTTTCAGGGTGTGTAAATTAATCATGGGGAGTTGATGGATGAACCATTTGGCTTGTATTGTTTGGACCCTTTAGTGACTGGTTCTATTTGAGCGTCACACAGTTGGAGTAGTCTTGTGTAATTCCAGAGACCAGAGCTATTTATAATTAATTTGTTATTAAGGCTATTATCTATTATTAATGCGTTGTTTGAAAAGGCGGCTTTGGAAACGGCAGATTCGGTTTCATAACAACGAGGTGTGTGTAGCCACGATGGAAGTGTTGTGCTTTCCTCCGTATTGTCTTATTACAAACAGAATGGTCTGGTGATTGACAGAGACACGGCCCACACAAAACAAGATACAGTCTACCCAAAGGTCAGACAGGGATACTTTTCTCATAGAATCATTTTAGGGCCCCGAGTTATTCCTTCCCACGTGAGTTTACATGGAAAAACACTGCCTATAACTAGGGGCACAGACTACATCAAAGGCCCAGAGTTTTTCCTTGCCAGGTTACAAAATCAGGGAAACTCAGGGCCCTACATGAGGGAAAAGAGTGAGAGCCTTCATTTGTGAAACAGCAGCCAGAAGTAGAAGATGATTGTTGTCCTAATCTCATCTATAGAAGAAAGGAAGGCTGTAAAATAAGGTATCTCCTTCAGTCCTTGGCTGACGTGAGGTGAGGCTGGTGGCTGTCCTTGACACAGACCCCAGACACTGGCTCTTGGAGGCCCCAACAAGGCAGGCCAGACAGAGCAGAGCAACGAGTCACTTCCACTGCTCCTAGAGGCCCCAGCCAGTCAGCCCAGATAGGACAGGGCAACGAGACACTTCCACTGCCACCTAACCCTGAGTTCCTGGTTGCTCCTCCAGACATCTGTCAGATTAGTGTCTTGTCCTCTCAGAGAGTGTGATAAAATATCCAGGGGCTCTCTGCTGGCTCTCTGGGAGCTTTGATCACCCACTGATTCATACTGTAGCAGGGACCTGGGATGTGTCACCTTTTCCATGGCTTCTGAGGACGGGCTTCAAGTAGCTAGAAAGGAGAGATGATTGTACACTATGCACGTGCATCCACGCACGCACGCACACACACAAAAACACAAACACACACACTAAAGCTTGAGCATGAACCTTAACCCCTGGTGGGCTGCATTGTGTAGTCTTATCCGGACCAGAGGCAAGGCCACGGTGTGTACAGTATACTGCCTAATGAACTCTGTTTTTAAAGATCCTCCCCTCTTTCTTTATTTCCTCTCTCCAGGTCTGTGTCTAGAGAAAGTCCCGGCTGCATCTCCGTCCCTGTCCAATCGTAACGTGGACAGAGACCAGGAAGTGATTACCTGCTATGAGAAGTCTGGAGACATTGCCCTGCTCTACCTACAGGAAGTAGAGAAGGTAACCTAGCAATCAGCTGACATTGGCTTTACTACTGGATATGATGATGGGAGGGAGAAGATGGGGATGCTTTAATCACTGTGACCAAACCAAATCATTTTCAGGTGATCTAGGCTAATACTAACAAAATAATGAACCCTCAGTTAAAGGTAGACTTGGCGAGATGACATTGCCATGAGCAGCACCGCAGATATTAAGATGAACGGGATGCAAGACTGCAACGTGATAGCAACGGGACCAAAACAGTGGAGAAGTTTAGTCTTGAGCTTCAACACTCTTAGTTGTTGCGGAAATTGACCCACTACTGCTGTTTACTTTGTGCATCTACGTCATCTCGCTGAGTCTACTTTTAAGTTACAATACCAAATAGCCAAGACTAAGGGCCATTCACCAGTAACTTAACTTTTGTTCTCGGATAGTTGCTGTTTGACATTTTAAAGGGAAGATTGCAGAATGAGGTTGCTGTTAAACATTCAGATTTGTTTCATCATTCCAACTAAAGTCCCAACATGACATATCACTTTACATTTGTATTTTGGGAGAAATTTATATTTTATCAGAATAAAATAGTCATGTCGGAAAAGCGACGTTCGGAAATGTGACGTAAAGAGGTGCACTACACGAGCATGAGTGAAGGCACTGTCCACATAAGACGGTAAAGTCCCACATCATACCAAGTTTTAGAAAAAAATATTTTGGCACTCTGAATATAGCCAACTTATCATCTGACCATATCCTATGATTTCTTTATTCTGTATCAGCTACGTTTTTATAATCACTTCTACAGCTCACAGGCTTTTAGCATAGCCTCTTTTAGCTAACCACTAGCAGCACTTATTAGCAGTTCAGCACATCAGCATTTCTCGTACTGTTACACAAAATCAAGATAAACCTTTACCATCATAGTAGACATTGAAAGTCTATAACCAAACTGGCTAAAACTCTGTTGTTGGCCGATGGTAGCTATAGCTAGCCACATGCTAACCTGCGTGCTACTACTAGCAGCAGTAAATCCAGGTATAATGGCTAATACAAACATTGACTACCATGATATCCTGCAAGTTAAATCGATCAGGCAGTTCAGCAAAAATAAAGACATACCTTGAAATAAACAATGACATTCATCTGATGTGTATTTTACTGTTTATTACAGCAAAACATGCTTATTCTATCCCCAAACACCATGCTAGATCTGTGTGAGTGGGCCATTTTGTTTTGCATGGCCAGGTGCACTTACAGTGCCTTCAGAAAGGATTCACACCCCTTGACTTTTTCAAAATGTTGTTGTGTTACAGCCTGAATTTAAAATAGATTAAATTGAGATTTTTTGTCACTGGTCTACACACAATATCCCATAATGTCAAATATATTCAAAGCTGAAATGGCTTGAGTCAATCAGTATTCAACCCCTTTGTTATGGCAAGCCTAAATAAGTTCAGGAGTAAGAATTTGCTTAACAAGTCACAAAGTAAGTAACATGGACTCTGTGCGCAATAATAGTGTTTAACATGATTTATGAATTTTAGACTTTGAGAGAAAAATATATTTCTCCATCCATTCAATATCAACCCCTCTGTCAACCCCACACATACAATTATCTGTAAGGTCCCTCAGTCAAGTAGGTAATTTCAAACACAGATTCAACCACAAAGACCAGGGATTATTTCCAATACCTCGCAAAGTACACCAATTGGTAGATGGATAAAAATAACAAAAACAGACATTGAATATCCCTTTGAGCATGGTGAAGTTATTAATTACACTTTGGATGGTGTATCAATAAACCAAATCACTACAAAGATACAGGCGTCCTTCCTAACTCAGTTGCCGGAGAGAAAGGAAACCGCTCAGGGATTTCACCATGAGGCCAATGGTGACTTCAAAACAGTTACAGAGTTTAATGGCTGTGATAGGACAAAACTGAGGATGGATCAACAACATTGTAGTTACACCACAATACTAACCTAATTGACAGAGTGAAAAGCAACAAGGCACTAAAGTAGTACTGCAAAAAATGTGGCAAAGCAATTCACTTTTTGTCCTGAATACTAAGTTTTACAGTATGTTTGGGGCAAATCCAATGCAACACATTACTGAGTACCACTCTCCATATTTTCAAGCATGGTGGTGGCTGCATCATGTTATGGGTATGCTTGAAATCGTTTAGGCCTGGGGAGTTTTTCAGGGTAAAAAATAAACAGAATGGAGCTAAGAAACAGGCAAAATCCTAGAGGAAAACCTGGTTCAGTCTGCTTAACACCAGACACTAGGAGATGAATTCACCTTTCAGCAGGAAAATAACCTAAAACACAAGGTCAAATCTACACTGGAGTTGTTACCAAGAAGACGGTGAATGTTCCTGTGTGGCAGAGTTACAGTTTTGACTTAAATCTGCTTGAAAATCTATGGCAAGACTTGAAGATGGTTGTCTAGCAATGATCAACAACCAATTTGACAGAGTTTGAATATTTTTGAAAAGAATAAATGGGCAAATATTGTACAATCCAGTTCTGCAAAATTCTTAGAGACTTACCCAGAAAGACTCACAGCTGTGATCGCTGCTAAAGGTGATTCTAACTTGTTGACTCAGGGGTGTGAATACTTATGTGTGTATGTGTAGATGGGTGAGAAAAAAATGAATTTAATCAATTTTGAATTCAGGCTGAAACAAAAGCACATGTGGAATAAGTCAAGGGGTATGAATATTTTCTGAAGGCGCTAGCTGGCTATCTTTGGTTTTATCATCTACTAGCAACATGACATGACAAAACTCTTTGGGCACTTTAGTACCTACTTACCCGATTCACCTCCATCACTGAAGCCGCCCGTCGTTGTGCTATAGTAACACCGGTGGTGTCAGTGGACTTGGAGCCTACATTGACTGTGGGCGCAGAACCATTTTTTAGCCTCAGCTTCGCTTGGGAACCACGCATATGACTGAAGCTCCAGGGGTTCCCCTGACCCAGTCTGCCCGCCGCATCCTCACGAAGCGGTCCGACTTTCTTCCTATCTTCTCGCGTTTTGGCCAAAAATGCATGCCGGTTAATAGTGGTTGTAGTGCGCTGCCGCCACGACTAGGCCGTTCCTTTCTTGACCTGAGTCTCAATGTATTATTGGTATTTTAGTTTTTTATATATATAATTCAAATTGCGAAAATATAAGTGCATGCAAAAACATGTTGGTAACACTTCATTTTAAGGGGTCCTTATTACAGTGTAATTAGATGTGTAATTACACTAACCAGTATTGTAGTTAATTGTAATAACTGATAGTTACACTGTAACTATCAGTTATAACAACATGTAACTGGTGCTAATTTTTGTCTGTAATTACAGAAGTGTAACAACAAATGCTTGTTACCATGCTTGTTAGAAATAGCCAGGTTTCCACTAAATTCACCAATTTAGTGTTTAGTTTCTTCTCTACTGCATCCGATTCAGTAATAACTGTCACAAGGTTGTAATCTCTTGTGGACAGATGTGCTGGGTGTCCGAGATTACTAAGGTTGGAGGATCAATAGACTCTAATTACCTACCCGTGAATGTGCACTCTTCAAAATCTCCATTCAATGTTGTTGCTAGCACAAAAAGGGTACCATCTGGGCTAACTTGGTTGAGTTTAAAATAACAGAGTATGTGGACACCTGCTTCTGGGAAGGCTTTCCACTAGATGTTGTAAGATTGCTGCAGGGATTTGCTTCCATTCAGCCACAAGAGCATTAGTGAGGTCGGGCAGTAATATTGGGAGATTAGGCCTGGCTCGCAGTCGGCGTTCCAATTCATCCCAAAGGTGTTCCATGGGGTTGAGGTCAGGGCTCTGTGCAGGCCAGTCAAGTTCTTCCACACCGATCTCAACAAACCATTTCTGTATGGACCTCGCTTTGTGCACAGGGGCAGAATCGTCTAGAATGTCATTGTATGCTGTAGCGTTAAGATTTCCTTCACTGGAACTAAGGGGCCTCGCCTGAACCATGATTAACAGCCCCAGACCATTATTCCTCCTCCACCAAACTTTACAGTTGGCACTATGCATTGGGACAGGTAGCATTCTCCTGGCATCCGCCAAACCCAGATTCATACGTCGGACTGCCAGATGGTGAAGCGTGATTCATCACTCTAGAGAACGCGTTTCCACTGCTCCAGAATCCAATGGCGGCGAGCTTTACACCACTCCAGCCGACGCTTGGCATTGTGCATGGTGATCTTAGGCTTGTGTGCGGCTGCTCGGCCATGGAAACCCATTTCAAGAAGCTCCCGACAAACAGTTATTGTGCTGACGTTGCTTCCAGAGGTAGTTTGGAACTCGGTAGTGAGTGTTGCAGACTCAGTGGTCCCACTCCTAGACGTTTCCACTTCACAATAACAGCACTTACAATTTACCTGGGCAGCGCTAGCAGGGCAGAAAAACTGACTTGTTGGAAAGGTGGCATCCTATGACGGTGCCACGCTGAAAGTAACTGAGCTCTTCAGTAAGGTCATTCTATTGCCAATGTATGTCTATGGAAATTGCATTGCTGTGTCCTCGATTTTATACACCGGTCAGCAACGGGTGTGGCTGAAATAGCCGAATCCACTAATATGAAGGGGTGTCCACATACTTTTGTATATATAGTGTACGTCAACCTCACTGACTGGGGTCTACCATATGGGTGTCATCCCAGATTATAATTAAAAAATAACTTATAATTAATGTATACGTTACCCATTATGACAACCTGAACCTCCTTGCCATCCAAGTGGGAGGATAAACACATTAGTACACCACAGAGTACATGTAATATCTGCATAAGTACAATGTAATTTACTAGGTGTTACACAGGATTTAGCTTGTTAAAATGAAGTGTATCTTGAGGTGTACTTACTTGTAATTATTGTGTACCTACAAAGTATGTTACCCATTCTGGCAATCTAATCATCAGTTTCAGAAATCTCCATCCAAGTGAGAGGATAAACACATTAGTACACTACAGAGTACATAGCTGTAATAATATCTGCATAAATATCTGCATAAGGTTGGCGCTAGTTCTTACCCAGGATTTAGCTATTTAAAGTGAGGTGTAACTTTACAGTTACCTATGAGCAATTTCTATATAGTTACTTGTTACTCATTACCAAGTGAAAATAATAAGTATTGATAGATTAATAATTGTATTAATTAGATTAAACAAAGATATTGTACCTACGCAATAACATAAAAATAACTATTCTAGGGGTGACTCATCTGTAGCCTATAGTATGGTGAGTAGCCTATAGAAAAATGGCGATTGTCTTTTTCTTCCCTTTTTAACGTTACAAGTAACAATGGAAATAGACAACGCTGTCTCTGACTTAGCTTTGGGACACAATATCGGAAGTCTGTGTATTGGTTGTACTCCCTGAGTTGTTTATCGTTCTGGTGGCGAGCGACAGAAAATAACCCTACAACAAATAGCCGGCTTCACCCAAAAAAGGTTTCCTGTCAACAAAGGCATATGGATAATCTCTAGGAACTCTATTTACCAGATGTAAAGTGAAATGTGACCTCGCTATCAAATAACAGTCTGAGTCCAACTTTTGTCCGAACCGCACCATATTCCTGCTGTGTAGACAGTGGTAGATTTTGTGGTTGGACGTCTTGCGTGAAGTGCGTGGTCTAATGGCAGCCCGCTGTCTAACTCCACAGGAATATGGTGCTGTTCAGACAACAGTTGGATTCAGACGTTTATTTGATAGCGAGGGTCACATTTCACTTTTCATCTGGTAAGTAGAGTTCCTAGAGATTATACATACAGTTGAAGTCGGAAGTTTACATACACTTTAGCCAAATACATTTAAACTCAGTTTTTCACAATTCCTGACATTTAATCCTAGTAAAAAGTCCCTGTCTTAGGTCAGTTAGGATCACCACTTTATTTTAAGAATGTGAAATGTCAGAATAATAGTAGAGAGAATGATTTATTTCAGCTTTTATTTCTTTCATCACATTCCCAGTGGGTCAGAAGTTTACATACACTCAATTAGTATTTGGTAGCATTGTCTTTAAATTGTTTAACTTGGGTCAAACGTTTCGGGTAGCCTTCCACAAGTGAATGGGTGAATTTTGGCCCATTCCTCCTGACAGAGCTGGTGTAACTGAGTCAGGTTTGTAGGCCTCCTTGCTCGCACACGCTTTTTCAGTTCTGCCCACACATTTTCTATAGGATTGAGGTCAGGGCTGTGATGGCCACTCCAATACCTTGACCTTGTTGTCCTTAAGCCATTTTGCCACAACTTTGGAAGTATGCTTGGGGTCATTGATCATTTGGAAGACCCATTTGCGACCAAGCTTTAACTTCCTGAATGATGTCTTGAGATGTTGCTTCAATATATCCACATAATCTTCCTTCCTCATGATGCCATCTACTTTGTGAAGTGCACCAGTCCCTCCTGCAGCGAAGCACCCCCACAGCATGATGCTACCACCCCCGTGCTTCACGGTTGGGATGGTGTTCTTCGGCTTGCAAGCGTTCCCCTTTTTCCTCCAAACATAACGATGGTCATTATGGCCAAACGGTTCTATTTTTGTTTCATCAGACCAGAGGACATTTCTCCAAAAAGTACAATCTTTGTCCCCATGTGCAGTTGCAAACGTAGTCTGGCTTTTTTATGGTGGTTTTGGAGCAGTGGCTTCTTCCTTGCTGAGCGGCCTTTCAGGTTATGTCGATATAGGACTCGTTTTTACTGTGAATAAAGATACTTTTGTATCTGTTTCCTCCAGCATCTTCACAAGGTCCTTTGCTGTTGTTCTGGGATTGATTGAAGTACGTTCATCTCTAGGAGTCTCCTTCCTGAGCGGTATGACGGCTGCGTGGTCCCATGGTGTTTATACTTGCGTAACTATTGTTTGTACAGATGAACGTGGTACCTTCAGGCGTTTGGAAATTGATTGCTCCCAAGGATGAACCAGACTTGTGGAGGTCTACAATTCTTTTTCTGAGGTCTTGACTGATTTCTTTTGATTTTTCCATGATGTCAAGCGGCACTGAGTTTGAAGGTAGGCCTTGAAATATATCCACAGGTACACCTCCAATTGACTCTAATGATGTCAATTAGCCTATCAGAAGCTTCTAAAGTCATGACATCATTTTCTGGAATTTTCCAAGCTGTTTGAAGGCACAGTCAACTTAGTGTATGTAAACTTCTGACCCACTGGAATTGTGATACAGTGAATTATAAGTGAAATAATCTGTCTGTAAACAATTGTTGGAAAAATTACTTGTGTCATGCACAAAGTAGATGTCCTAACCGACTTGCCAAAACTATAGTTTGTTAACAATACATTTGTGGAGTGGTTGAAAAACAAGTTTTAATGACTCCAACCTAAGTGTATGTAAACTTCCGACTTACATTTTACATTTACATTTTAGTCATTTAGCAGACGCTCTTATCCAGAGCGACTTACAGTTAGTGCATACATTTTCCATACTGGCCCCTGTGGACTTCAACTGTATCACGTGGTTTGTAAAGGCTGAAATATGGTGCGTTGGGATGCTATCAGAAACTTTTTAACATTTGTAACAAGCATGGTAACAAGTATCCGTTGTTACACCCCTGTAATTACAGACTGCAGTTACCACCAGTTACATGTTGTTATTACAGTGTAACTATGAATTATAACAATTAACTACAATACTTGTTACAGTGTAATTACGTAAATACACTGTAATAAGGACCCCTTAAAATGAAGTGTTACCAACATTTTCTAGAAACTTCTGCATAAAGACCGTTCAGATGGAATATCATCAATCTACATTGTTAGATTTGTGGAAATATATCATGCAACCTGCCCTTTTAATGAATCGCTATCCTTCCTTGGTTTCCCCAATAAGTGGATTGGATTTGCCTGTAATTAACTAACTAATTAATTCATTGATTAGATTTATAAAGGGCTTTTCCAGTGCTCAAAGAGGCAACCATTGTGTGCCAGAATGCTCACCACACATCAGCTAATGTTTGGGAGTTGGTCCTGCCTGTGTGCTAGTGTATTAGACAGTGCAGTAGGCCTATACCCCATCTGTAATGCTGGTGTCTGTACTATTAGTACCGTAGTGGTGGAAGGGGGCCAGGTCCATCAGCAGATCAATGCAGCACTGACAGACTGGCCCAGGGTTTGATGTTCCTGTTTCTGACCTTGGCTGCTGTTTCAATCAGCAACTTTTTTCTCCACTCTGATTTGTTCTGACAACAGGTTTTTCCCTTGCATTTTATTTTCTCTCTCTTTCTGTCTGCTCTCTGTTTCTCTCTCTCTCGGTTCTTTCCATCTCTCTCTCTCTCTCTCTCTTCTTCTCTCTCTCTTCTCGTCTCCTCTCTCTTCTCTCTCTCTCTCTCTCCTTCTCTCTCTCTCTCCTCTCTCCTCTGCTCTCTCTCTCTCTCTCTCTTCTCTCTCTCTCTCTCTCTCTCTCCTCTCCTCTCTCTCTCTCCTTCTTTCTTCTCTTCTTCCTCTCTCTCTCTCACTTTCTCTTCTCTTCCATTCACTGTCTGTTCTCTCCGCACTCTCATGGGGTTGCAGAACAGTGTAGTGACCTTTTTTTTATCTTTGTTCATCAGCATGCCCGGCGTCATCAAGATACTCACATCCAGTGTGACTGCTAGCTATTTGGCTAGGCCTTGCTACATCGATATGCTCTCCATCCCGCAGGTGTGATGGCTTCAGATGCTATTTGTGGACTTTGAGGCCTTAAGTGGTTTTAGTTGGCTGTAAGCAGCTGATGCATTGTGTTGCCATTGGGCTCATGATGTATCTAGTTAACTGTGATGACTGTTTGCCCTATGTTACTTTTGCTATTTGAATTCCTTCCTTAAGTGGTTTTTAGTCTGTGTCCTTAGTTGAAGAGCAGTGATGCAGGCTTGACTCATTTGGCCCATTTTGGGCTCATGGTGTCATCTTAGTTACCAAGCCTCCGGATAGAGCTGTGTTGTTGCTCCAAAATGTCATAACTTTATGTGCTATTTGAATTCAATATTGAAACTAATCTAGTGCCATCGATTCACTCCCCCAAATAGCCACAGGCTTTCCCCCCTGCATTTTCTTTCTTCTGTATCAGCTGTTAGTCTAATCTAGTGCAACTGATTCACATTGGAGCGGCACTTCCCCAAATAGCTCCCTCCCCACTTCCAACACACGCACACACCTTTCCCTTCCCAACCTACATTACCAGCCCACCCACACATCCAGAACACCACGTCTGGAGATGATAGTGTTGATAGGGGTCAGAGTGGGGCATGAGAGAGCTGCCCCACTGTAACTGACCCGGCAACTGATTCCATACAGCATACAGAGAGACACTGATACAATACCCATGAGATTAATGGGGCAACAGCACTACATCCAGGTATCTATCTCTCTCAGTGTATCATGTGCCAGGCAGGCAGCATAAGGTACTTGTGATGACACTGACTACCTGCTGCTGGATGAAATGATCTCATATTTTTGACAGACGGAGAGTGGGAACACAATGGGGACCTTCTGGTCGGACTGATGGAGAGGGTTAGGAGGGTGAGGAGAGGGTGAGGAGAGGGGGAGGAGAGGGAGAGGAGGGGAGGAGAGGGTTAGGAGGGAGAGGAGGGAAGGAGAGGGAGAGGAGGGAGGGAGAGGAGAGGGGAGGAGAGGGAGAGGAGGGGAAGGGGAGAGGAGGGGGAGGAGAGGGAGAGGAGGGGAGGAGAGGGTTAGGAGGGAGAGGAGAGGGGGATGCGGAGAAGAGGGTAGCAGCCATGGTTCTTCAATCTTTCCCGTCCTCTCTCCTCTTATCTCTTTCATCTAGTTCTATTATTATCTGATGTTATCTTGGTTGTGTTTTCTTATCTCTCTGATTATCGCTCTGGTTTTGGAAGTACAATATTGTGGTTTCTGAATTAAAACGTTTGGCTGATTTGCATATGTGTAGGCCTATACAGTGTACTAGTCTATTGTTGATGCAGAATGTGAACACTAGACCAGTATGTTGACTGTGCTGTGTGTTGCAAGAGGTGGCTCCAATGCTCCAGCCTCTGTTTGTGTGTTTCAGGCCCTCAGTGCAGGGATGCAGAACCGCAGTCCAAAGCCAGGTTCAGTGGCCCAGGAGCAGGAGCTGGGATACTTCTTGGAGACTGGACTTCAGAGGGCACATGTCATCCACTTCAAAAACGGGTGAGAGAGAGTGAGAGCGTGTGTGTGGAATAATCCTACACTGACATCCAGGCTGGTAATGAATTCATCCCTAACCCACTGTGTGTGTTGCTACTCCCTGTCACCCTACCCTCTCTCCACTGTCACTCTTCCCCCTCTCCACTGTCACTCTTCCCCCTCTCCACTGTCACTCTTCCCCCTCTCCACTGTCACTCTTCCCTCTCTCCACTGTCACTCTTTCCTCTCTCCACTGTCAGAGGAAGGCCCTCAAAATTGTCAAAGACTCCAGCCACCCTAGTCATAGACTGTTCTCTCTGCTACTGCACGGCAAGCGGTACCGGAGTGCCAAGTCTAGGTCCAAAAGACTTCTCAACAGCTTCTACCCCCAAGCCATAAGACTCCTGAACAGCTAATCATGGCTACCCGGACTATTTGCACTGCCCCCCCCCCCCCCCCCCCCCCACCCCATCTTTTTACGCTGCTGCTACTCTGTTAATTATTTATGCATAGTCACTTTAACTCTACCCACATGTACATATTACTTCAACTACCTCAACTAGCCGGTGCCCCCGCACATTGACTCTGCACCGGTACCCCCCTGTATATATAGCCTCCCTACTGTTATTTTATTTGACTTCTGCTCTTTTTTTCTCAACACTTTTTTGTTTGATTCAACTTTTTTATTAAAAAGAAATGCACTGCTGGTTAAGGGCTGTAAGTAAGCATTTCACTGTAATGTCTGCACCTGTTGTATTCGGCGCATGTGGCCAATAAAATGTGATTTGATTTGACTGTCACTCTTCCCTCTCTCCACTGTCACTCTTCCCTCTCTCCACTGTCACTCTTCTCCCTCTCCACTGTCACTCTTCTCCCTCTCCACTGTCACTCTTCCCTCTCTCCACTGTCACTCTTCTCCCTCTCCACTGTCACTCTTCCCTCTCTCCACTGTCACTCTTCCCTCTCTCCACTGTCACTCTTCTCCCTCTCCACTGTCACTCTTCTCCCTCTCCACTGTCACTCTTCTCCCTCTCCACTGTCACTCTTCTCCCTCTCCACTGTCACTCTTCTCCCTCTCCACTGTCACTCTTCCCTCTCTCCACTGTCACTCTTCCCTCTCTCCACTGTCACTATTTCTTCCAATCCAAGGGTCCGTTTGTCTCAGAACACATAGTATGTATTCCTCCACTCCTCTCTGCCCTAGAATAGCACTGTGTTTGGCTTACAATCCCCCCCAGAGAGAACAATGCCCTTGTATTACCATAGAGCATAGGTCACTAACAGGCGGACCGCGGTCCGGATCCGGACCCAGAAGCCGTCCCATACGGACCCGGACCAAAACAAAAGATTATGAATTAAAACCTGACGGGGCGCTTCTATTTTAATATGCACAGCTTTTGTAGTCTTTACGGTACTCGTTTTGTGAATGAGGAAACTCACCGACCAATTGCATGTGAGTTAAGCGATCCCACGTGATACCACTCAGCCAATGAAGTCTTTGCATTCCTGGCGGTAAACATTGGGACTCTACAGTGCAGACAGATGAGAGTTTTAGAGGCAAGTTACCAAGGAAAAGAAAGTCGGATTAAAAAGATAGCGATATATGTAGAAAACAAAGGGAGCGAAAACAGACGAATGAGACGGAGAAAGGGAACGAAACAGACGAGTGAGAAACAGACGAATGAGACGGAGAAAGGGAGAGATACAGACGAGTGTGCCGGAGAAAGCTGAGGAAAATACGAGTGAGACGGAGAAAGTTGACGAAAATATGAGTGAGACGGAGAAAGGGAGCGAAACAGACGAGTGAGGCAGAAAAAGGGTAACAGTTAGAGAAAATAAGGAACAAATGGCACTCTCCAAAAAAAGAAAAGTGGACAATGAAAACAGAGCATTTAATCCAGAATGGACAGACTCCACCAGGATCCTGAGCAACACATTCACTGCCCAACAACGTGCTCTTGAGTGTTCCCTCAGAGTTTCTTGGATTTTGGGTAAACACAAAATGCCATTTACAGATGGAGGGGTTGTCAAAGAATGCATGAGTGCAGTAGCTGAAACACTACTTGAGGGAAAACAAAAAAATGAGCTTTGTGATAAAATAAAGCAAATTCCCATGTCAGCATCATCTGCCACAAAGAAAAGTGAAATATTAACTCAGGATGTGCTAACCCAGCTAGATGAAGCCATGCATAAGGCACCATGTGTAGGCTTAGCTGTGGATGAGTCCACTGACATATGTGACAATGCTCAGCTGTTAGTGTTTGCCAGGTTTTTCAACACAGCCCAGAAAACATTCTGTGAAGACATGTTAGGTGTCACTCCCCTTCAGACCAGTACAAGAGGAGAGGATATCTACCTGGCCATTAAGGAGATGTTAACAAAAAGAGGAATAGAGCCAAAACAAGTGGTTTCAATAACCACAGATGGAGCCCCTTCTATGATAGGGAAAGAAAAAGGAGCTGTAGCAAGACTGAAAGGGGACAATCCTGAGCTTTTATCTTACCATTGCATCATTCATCAATCTGTCCTCTGTGCCTCCCTGTCAGATGAGCATGCTGAGGTGATGAATACAATGATGAAAATGATAAATTTTCTCAGGGCATCCTCTTCCTACCAGCATCGCATGCTTAGGGAATTCCTCAGAGAAGTTGATGCCAATGCTGATGATCTTTTGCTGCACAACAATGTGAGATGGCTCAGCAAAGGCAGGGTGCTAGAGCGCTTTTGGTCCATCAGGAGGGAATTAGCATCTTTTTTGGCAGAGCTAAGCAGTCAGAAGGCAACACAGTTTTCTCTCTTTTTAGAAAATGAGAAATGGATGGATAATGTGGCCTTTTTGGTTGACATCACGTCACATCTGAATGAACTGAATTTGAGGCTACAGGGCAAGGACAATTCAATTTGTGAACTGATGACAGCTGTTCGCTCCTTTCAGAGGAAACTTGAAGTGTTCAAGGAAGACCTGCAGGGAGACTGTGTACACTTCCCAGCAGTGCAGGAACAGGTTCAGGGACAGAGAGATTTGTCTTCTTTTGTTGATTTTATTGATAAGCTGATTGTAAACTTCAGCAACCGTTTTGACAGCTTCAGCTTTGGAGAGCAGCTCACCATGTTCATTCAGAACCCATTTCTGATCACAGATGTCAGGGGGTTCTCAAAGGAAGTCACACAGCACTTTAAATGGGTAAATGCTGGGTCTCTCCAGATGCAATTGGTTGATCTCCAAGCAGATGTGGCCCTGAAAGAGCAGTTTGTAAGAACTGACCCTTCCACTTTCTGGTTCCAAATGGTCCCTGAGACTGCTTTCCCGGGTCTGAGGAAAGTAGCCCTATACATCTTGACCATGTTTGGCTCCACATACAACTGCGAGGCAGCTTTCTCCACAATGAACATAATTAAAACTAAATATCGTTCCAGGCTCACCAATGAGCACCTTCACATGTGTATGAGAATGGCCCTGACTCCATTCAAGCCCAGGTTTAAAATTCTGGCAAGACAGGCTAAAGCTCAATTCTCTCACTGAGCAAAAACATGGTGGAGTGGGATATGAGGGGAAGAAAGTGATACTCTAAAACTGTTCAATTGTTAAGATCTGTTGAGATTTATTATTTGTAAAATTGGTTGAGACTGTTGAGTCAAGATGTGAAACAGAAAAGGGGAAATTCAAACTTTTCCTCCCTTTATATTATTTTTCTGAAGTTAAGCACTTTTTTTGAAAATGCACAATTTTCAAATTTTATTTATTTTCTCTTATTTTGACATGCAGCCCTAGTTTTATTTAGTTAATTAATGAGAGCACATTGTACATATCTACAGTCATACATATATGTTCAGTAGGGCTGCCCCTCTTAGTCGATTAGTCGACTAATCGGTCGTTTTGGTCTTAGTCGACTAAGATTTCTTTAGTCGATAAGTCATTTTTTATGCTTATTCATGCTTAATTACTCATTTCCAAGTAACTTATGAGAACATTTCTGGTGAACACGAGATTTAAAGTGGTGCTTTTGCAGGATTAATTTCGGAGAAACTCAGTTTTACAGATGGTTAATTAACTACATTTATATTGTGCTTTTCTAGTCTTGCACAGCTCTGTCGATTAAATCAACTAATCGATTAGTCGACAAACTCATATAAGTGTTAGTCGACTAAGAATTTCTTTAGTCGAGGACAACCCTAATGTTCAGTTCTATGTTTCGTGATAATAAATATTGTCAACAAGTTTTTGAATTGTACTGAATTAATTTGATTAGACGGTCAGTTATTGATTACATTCAGAACTACTAGGCTACTTAAATATATATACCACTAAATTGTTAGACATTATGATCTTCTGGACCTTTGCTTCAAAACATTTTCTCTAACTGGACCTTTTTTAAATTTTGTTGAATACCCCTGCCATAGAGACTCAGGTTGACTTGCAGCTCAAAGCTAAGATGCCAAGCCCAGACCTGCCAACCTGCATGCATTTTGCGTACCATCCACACAATTTGAGGTCAAAGTACGCTGGTACAAAAAACGTCCATAAAATACACAAAAATAGGCTTGTAGTTGACACATTGTGGTTTTTGACTCAACCGTCTGAAGTTCAAGCTGAGCCAATCAGAGTACTAGAGTGAGGAGGAAATATCTCTAGATCTCTGCCCTCCAGCAGGATGGCAGCTCTCTACTTTGTCCATTGATACCACTGATGTGTGAGGAAAAAGGGAAAATGGAGAATGAAATGTTTGCCAAATACATTTTCCATAATTGTATGTGTTAATAAAGCACATAACCACTATGATTACGACAAAGGTAGTTAGCTACAGCGTTTAGTCAACTAAGCGAGAACACTTTATTGCCCGCACATGCTTTGATCTCCGCAACGGTAGTAGGCGTGAGCGCATTGATGAGCAAGGAAACGTGCGGTGTTGCGGTAGTTCAGTGTGCGTCGCTGCGTGGATGGAAACAGACATGGCAGAGAGAGCTGTTCCGCTAATGCCTTCCTTCACAGAAAGTTATGTTAGACTGTTAAAGATTAGTATG